GTAAGGACGCATATGTTATTGAGTATTGGACCTAAAAGAGAAGAAAGTTCTAAGGCGTTGAACCACGTTTGGTAATGAATCTTGACTGACTCCAAATATTGAAGTTTCTTTTGGGTCCCAAATTAAAAATTTCTAAGAAAATACGGTTTTAAGTTATAACTTGAGCTCGATAACACATGGTTAGCAAAAAGCCATCATCTAATATGTACAACGAATTTGATTGTTTTATTTAGTATGCTTTTGTTTTTGTGTTTACATGTTGATGCAGCAGTTTGGTTTTCTCTTATCAAACATAATTTATAAACGTGAAACGCAAATGGATGGAGAATATGAGTTTTTTTAATACATGATAAATAACATGTTTATTTCTACATGAAACTACTACAATTTATTTTTCTAAAAATATTAAAGATAAAAATTGTAATAGTAAACGCAACGATAAGTTTGATGCATTTTAATTTACGTCTGTGTTTACATTTTGCAAATGATATTTAATTTAGCAAAAAGTATAGGAAAATATATATATAATTTTTGTTTCACATGTAAACACAAACATGAAAAATGCGAATGCAAAGAACCTTCTTATGCGTTTTGTGTTTATATTTGCAATTTGTAAATAATGATTGATTAAAGAAAATTAAAATCTTGTAGTTTCTAAAATATAAACATAAGATTTTTACATGAAAATATGCTTTACAATCAAGACTGATACCATTTGCGTTAAGATTTTTACGTCAGAATGCATTGTTTTTTTACAATATTGTGTTGTTTTTGTGTGCATTTGAACCAATCAAACTTCTCTAAGCACATTTACGAGATCACGAGATAGAATCAACAGCTCAGTTACCTGTGTAAATTGAACTTAACCTAAAGTTTATAAACCAACAAATCGACCAACTCGCCGCCATACATGTTCACCTTTTATATGTTTCGAGTAAATACAATTCATAGTTGGCTGCTTCTACAGCGATATATATATTAGTTTTATACATTTATAACTTTGTTTTGGCTAAGCTAGTGATTATCTTATATATATTTCTTGGAAATATGGATCAGTGCATTTTCTTTTTTGACTTTTTTTTTACGTATTTGTTAGGAAGCACAGTTTTACTTTTATACGGAGATAATGTAAGATATCAAATTCATAATAAGATTTGAAAGGTCCATTAGTGATGGAGCATGGATCCATTATGAAGTAAGATCCACTAATAATCTTTGGTTAGTTAGTATAAATATAATAAGTTTTATGCCATTAGTTAAACGCATGGTACGTTCTTGCATGTCACATTCATCGTGTGAGGCGTGTCAAAACGGAGATGTTTACCCAAATGTACAAAGATACAGTGATACTAATTAATCTCTCTATATATATAATATTGTTTACTTTGGCTTGACGTGTTGGACATGGCATTGAAAATACAAATTATAAGGAAGAATGCGACATTTACTGTGCATGCCAAAATAGATAAGAATGGTGCGTATGAGGATGAGTGTAAAAGTATTTTGAGTGACGGAAAATCACAGAGATATGACAAATGAAGAAGTACGTAACCGGTGAAAAAAGATGAGATTGGTGTGGTTGAGAAAGACCGAAATAAAATACATTGTATGTAGTACATAAAGAATATGAGCCATTGTATTTATTGTTCGTTGGTTTTGAAATAGAAATACATGAATCTTGAAAACAAAAAGAGCCAACGATTTGGTAACATACAGAACCGAATTGATTAACGATGGTTATGGGAAATTATTGTTCTTATTAACTCGATACCTTGTCTCTGCAAATAAAAAGAGACATTGTAGAGAAGAAAAGGAGTTAGACATGAGAGTTGGAAGAACTCTAGAGTAAAAGAGAAAAAGAAAAAAAAAGTTTTAGAGAAAAACTATTAAGTTTCACGAGTTTTCAAGTCAAAATCAATAGATTTAGTGGAAAGGTTCACATCCTTTACTACTAAGTTTCTTTCCATCTTTCAGATCTTTTTTCCAAAAAAACAAACTTTGAAAAATCAACTAGAAAGTCAACCAGAAAACATGTCTATGAATTATGATAATTAAGCGAGTAATTTTCATTTGTGATTTTTTTTCTCTTCGACGTTTTCATCTACATGCTGGTCATTCCAAACTAATTTCATTACTGAATTAGGTTAAGATATGTGTTTCGGTTTAATATTTTCACATTACAACAAGATAATGTTTTAAAATAGACAAATTAATTAGATGAAAGATATTGGTATGATATAAAAATATTATTGTGTATACTTTATGTACA